TCCTTCTTCCTATTCCGCTGATTGCCTTTTTCCCGGAAACCAAACATCTAATCGAGAAAAAGAAAGGTGGGAATTTGGGGGTTTAAATTTTCAGACAGACCCAAAGACATGAAGTTCAGATCCTGTTTCACAAATTGTTTTTCTCTTCCATCAAAGACAACCATCATCAACATAAACAAAGAGGGTAAATAACAAAACCTTAGGTGTTTTGAGTTTTTCTCTCTCTTGCTTGTACCTTTAACTATGTTTTGATTCAAAGATTGAATTTTTCTTTATATTCAATATTTTCTTTCTCTTTCTTTCAATGCAGAACCCTATGGAGAAAATGTTGAGAATTTTACTGTCTTCTCTTATAGTTAGCTCGTGTTTGCCACTTGTGGATTCTCTGCTGCAAACAAGATCGGAGAAGGTGCCTTTGGTTGTGTCTACAAGGTTAAAAATCTTACACTTTGACTAAAAAGTGGAAAAACCAGGTTAAATTTTGTCTTGAGACAAACAATGATATTAATTTTGGGGTTCATTAATCTTTGTAGGCCTTGCTTACAAATGTTCTGTTAGGATCGAAGAGGTTCGATTGAACAACCGAAAAATGTGTAAGAGAAGTGAATTGACAAAAATTGTTTAGGGAGTAAGGAGAAATAAAAGATATAAAGTTTTGCACATCGATTTATAGTGGTTCGACTTCTCAACTAAGTTTACCTCCATTACCTTAACTCATCACCAATGATTTTCTAACAAATTTTTTCTTTCTTTTTACAGGATCAAAAGTAACCTTTACAAATTCCTAGTTTTTCACTTGGCTAAACTAGAACCAATCCCCTTTACAAAAGGTAAAGAAATGTAAACAAAAAAACCTCTCAAAGATAAGGTGTTTACAAATTAAAGCTCACAAGAACAAAATATTTACAAGAGAAAGTAAAATAGGAATGAAAAATTATTCTTTTGTGTTTGATTGCTTGGATATGTGTTCTAACCATTCTTCAAGTATCTTGAACTTGTATTTATATGTTGGAATGAGGTTGTGGTTGTTTCTAGCCGTTGGGAGTCTTTTAGAGCCGTTGGGATGTTTTTCTCTGCAAAATAAAATTGCCCAGTACAGAGGATATCGGTACTCCTATAGGGAGTATCGGTACTACCTTTGTTATTTTTTTTTAAAAAAACTAGCTGTTACTAGCCATTGGGCCTGACGGTATCAATACTAAGCCTTTGGGTATTCGGTATCATTTTTGCATTCTGGAATTTGAGTAATGATGGTAGTATCGATACTACCTAGTGAGTATCGATACTTCCCTTACATTGGTATCGGTACCACATGAATAATATCGGTATTGTTCATGAGGTATCGATACTATAAGAACAATATAGATACTTGTTGTACAGAAAATTATTTTGTGCTCAATTCCAAGTAAAATAGCTTTGAATTATTTTTGAAAAATTTTGAAAACTTGAATAAATTCAATTCAAGTCCAAAAACATTTTTTCATAATTGTTATATCAAAATATAGTTCAACAATCTCCCCCTTTTTGATATAACAAAACATTTGACAAATTATTTTTGGCAAAACTCTCCATTAAAAAAATATTTAATGAAAAAGATACCAATTGTTGGAAAATGTTTAGCTCCCCTTTTTCATAGAGAAATTGAATTTTTCAAACTTATACTTCTCCCTCATTTTGTTATATAAAAAATAATTCAACTTTAAAGTTCTAAAATAACTTTGGAGAGTAAATGTTAAATTTTATCATAAAATCATTTGAAAAATCAAAACTCCTCCTCAAAAAGTAGCATTCCATACAAAAAAATTAACTTTAAAAGCTTGACACATAAACAAAATTGATTTCAACATAGAATAACAACATGTTAGTAGCACATGAAATTCAATATAATCAAGTTTAAAATACTTTATGCAATATCAATTGTTGAAATTAAGTGCATATGCATAAAGTCTTCAAAAAATGTTATGCATTTGAAAATTTTGATATCAATTGTCAAAGAGATATCATTTGGATTTTTAAATTACATGCATAAACATTTAAATTTAGTTCAAAAACTTAAATTTTTTAAAATCAAAGCATTTGGAAAATTAATATCAATTGTTCTAGAGATATCATTTACATTTAAAACCCGATTTTGACCAAAATTCATTATGATGAACTAATAATTATGAAAAATCATTAAAACTTTAAAGAATATTCATCATAACACATTTTTTTAACATACATGAGATAGAAAAATAACACAAAATCATTTAAATTCAAAACTCATGCATGCATAAACCTAGATGAGTAACAAAATAATAAAAAACAAAAACATTAAGTTCAGAGGTTACCCATTCCTTTTCAAGTATGGCTAGAGCATTTGAATATCTTCAATTTCATCATCATTGCTCCCACACACCTGCAAGAGACATTTAAGTAGAATTTGGTATCCAAATTGCTTTGGATCCTTGGACGTTAGTTTCAATGCCCCTTGTTCCCTTGGGAACCCATACTTGTCTAATTTTAAAACATTTTCCTTTCTTCAAAGGACAAGTATGTTCCAAACAACCATGAAAATGACAATGTGAGCATTTTTCCATTTTTAAACATAATTAGTTATTTTTAGAAATTAATTCTTTTTTCTTTTGTTAAGCTCTCAAGCTTCTTTCAAATCAAAATTTTCTTTTTCTAAATCATTAATTTTTACTTTTGAAAGCTCTAAATCATTTTTCAAAGATTCATTTTGTTTTTCAAAATCAACTTTTGTTTTCAAAACCAAGTCATTTTCAACTTTAAGTTTTGAAATTAATTTCTTATATTTGGAATTTATGGTCTCAAATTCCAAATACAACTCATTATAAGCATCTTGTAACTCATCAAAAGAATGTGAATTTAATTCATTTGAGTTAGACGATACCATTGAATCTTCTCCGATGGCCGTAAGGCATAGGTTGACTACTTCATCTTCATCACTCCAAGCTGCCACAAATGCCTTTTTTCTTGCTTGGTCTCTTCTTCTTTAGGAGAAGACATTCATACTTGACATGTCCCTTTCTTTGACAATTGAAGCACACCGGGGGACTCTTTTTCTTGCTCGATTCATGCTTCACTTCCTTGGAAGTCATGAATCTCTTGAACTTTTTAAAGAGTTTGGCCATCTCTTCTTCTTCATCATCTTCTTTGTCCACCTCTTCATTTGAATCTTGGTAGTTCTCATTGATGTACTTGAAGGCAATGCATACCTCATTCTTCTTATTGTTTTGCTTCTCTTCATCTTCTTCCTCTTCCTTCACCGTTAACTCATGAGTGAGAAAAGAACTAATCAACTCATCGAGAGTGAGAGACTTTAGATTTATAGCCTCAATGATCGTCATCTTCTTCAATTGCCAAGACTTTGGAAGAGCCTAGATCATCTTCGTCACAAGTTTCTCATTAGGGATTACCTCTCCAAATCCCTTTAGACTATTGACAATCACGAAAAATCTATCTATCATAGCTTTGATATCTTCATCGGATTTCATCTTGAAATTCTCATAGCTATGGTTGAGAAGACTTATCTTGGTTTCCCTCACTTTATCGGTTCCTTCATGAGTGACTTGGAGCTTATCCCATATCTCATTGGCATTGGAACAAGAGGAGACTCTTCCATATTCATCCGGGCCTATTGCACAAAAGAGAATGTGCATAGCCTTAGCATTGAGTTGGAACTTCTTCTTCTCTCCATCACTCCAATCATTCATCTCACTGGGTGGAGTGGAGTAACCCTTCATGATTGAGTTCCAAGTTCCTAGATCATTTGCTTGAATGAAGAGCATCATCCTATTCTTCCAATAGACATAATTTGCTCCATTGAAATACGATGGCTTGTTGACCGGTTGAGAATCTTCCATGTAATAAGCACCTGAGGTTGAAGCCATCTCTTTGTCGGTTGCATCGGGAATCGATAGAGCTTCTTCGAGGATCGTCTCAAGGATGTGAAGTCTTCTAATGAGTCAAGCTCTGATACTAATTGTTAGGATCGAAGAGGCTCAATTGAACAAACGAAAAATGTGCAAGAGAGATGAATTGGCAAAAATTGTTTAGGGAATAAGGAGAAATAAAAGATAGAAAGTTTTGCAAAATGATTTATAGTGGTTCGACTTATCAACTAAGTCTACCTCCACTACCTTAGCTCATCACAAAGGATTTTCTAATAAATTCACTAATTTGTTCTTTCTTTTTACAAGATCAACAATAACCTTTACAAACTCCCTAGTTTTTCACTTGGCTAAACTAGAATTAATCCCCTTTACTAAAGGTAAAGAAATGTAAACAAGAAAACCTCTCAAAGGTAGGGTGTTTATAAATTAAAGCTCACAAAAACAAAATATTTACAAGAGAAAGTAAAATAAGAATGAAAAACTCTTCTATTGTGTTTGATTGCTTAGATAGGTGTTCTAACCCTTCTTCAAATGTCTTGAACTTGTATATATATATTGGAATGAGGATGTGGCCATTTCTAGCCGTTGGGGATGTCTTTCTTTGCAAAATAAAACTACCTAGTACAGAGGATATTGGTACTACCTTTGTTATTTTTAAATAAAACTAGTCGTTACTAGTGGTTGGGTCTGACGGTATCGATACTAAGCCTTTGGGTATTCAAATTACTATGTAAAATAGTATCGGTACCCCTTTGGGTATCGGTACCATTTTTGCATTATGCAATTTGAGCAATGATAGTAGTATCGATACTACCTAATGAGTATCGATACTTCCCTTACCTTGATATCAGTACCATATAAACAGTATCGATACTGTTCATGAGGTATCGATATTGTAAGAACAATATCGGTACTTCTTGTACAGAAAAGTATTTTGTTCTCAATTTCAAGTAAAATGGACTTTGAATTATTTTTGAAAACTTTGAATAAATTCAATTTAAGTCCAAAAACATTTTTTCATAATTGTTATATCAAAATATAATTCAACAGGTTCTATTGTAATTGTAAAAATGCTTTCGATCAAACTTGAAACTTGAATCGATGCGCGGGGAAAGGGAGTTTGTATCTGAAATTTCTGCACTTACAACTTTCAAACATGATAACCTTGTTACACTTAAAGGCTGCTGTGTTGATGGAGCTAAAAGGCTCTTGGTTTACAATTACATGGAAAATAATAGCCTTGCACAGATATTACTAGGTAAGATATTCTATATGAAAAATTTGTGCTATAGTGATTTCATTCAATGAATTACAACAATGTGGAATACCCGAAATTGATCGGATGGTGAACGATATATTAGACTATATTGTTTGCTATGTATTCTGGATTAATAGGTGGAGAGAAAAACAGGATAAAACTTGATTGGGAAGCAAGGCGGGCGATTTCACTCGGAGTTGCTCGAGGGCTTGCATATCTTCATGAGGAAGTTAAGCCGCGCATTGTGCACAGAGATATTAAAGCTAGCAACATTCTTTTGGATCAGAATTTAGTACCGAAGTTTCGGATTTCGGTCTTTCGAGAATTCTAAGGGATAATGCTTCTCATATTAGCACCCAAGTTGCAGGCACATTGTAAGTGAGCATTTCTGGTTCTTTACTATGAACTTGATGAATATTTCTCGTGTGTAATTGAATTTATGCTCCTTGAAGTAACCGTGGCTAATGGAATTTCTTGCAAATGGCAAATGAGATAGAGGCTATCTCGCCCCTGAATACGCCTTCAGTGGACGTTTAACAATAAAAACAGATGTTTACAGTTTTTGGGTCCTACTTTTGGAAATTATTAGCGGCCAGACGGTTGTCGATTTTGACTTAGAGCATGGTGAACATTACCTTGTTCAAAAGGTAATGGTGCCGAAATTCTAATATTCCCATTCATGTTCCGAAAATATGTTTTCGGGCTAAATTACTAACCTGTTGATTTGATTATGCGTGGAAAACATACAGGCATGGGAAATATACAGGGATAACAGGATTCTGCAATTGGTGGATCCTATAGTAGGTATGAACTACCCCCATGAAGATGCGATTCGATTCATCAAGGTGGGTCTCCTTTGCATTCAAGAAAAATCCCGGCTCCGACCAGAAATGTCGACGGCACTGAAAATGTTGAGTAATGATGTAGACATTGAAAGAGTCCAGGTTTCACAACCAGGTCTTGTTGCTGATCTGATGAATATCAAGTTCGGACAAAAGACAACGTTTCATAGCCTCTACTCTAAAGCCTCAAATTTGGAAAACACCCCAAGCCCCCTCAGTTCATGTTCTTGACTTTGCAGGCTCTATACTTTTGGGGGAAACCGATTACTGTTCGTTGACGGCACTGAAACTGTTCGAATACAGTCCTGAAAATATTGTACAAACAAAGAAGGAAAACACACAGAAATATAGCACTTTCTCACAACAATTTTTCATTTTTTTCAGACCAAAATAAACATATTACAAATTCTCCCTTCTGCAGTAAAAGATGTGAGAGAAAAAGGTGCCAGAAGCAAAAATAAGAACTAATACAAGAGTTTTGAGAAATTATTTTACCTGTATCCTTCAGCTTATTTGTTAGAAATTAGATTGAAAAGCAGTTTCCATCTTCCCTGATTAAGGTAGCAGTATGCATGCATGGCTCCTTGCATGCCATTCACGAAGGCCACCGGATTCTCGATGGGCTTTATAAATGGCATACAGGGCGCCAGGCATGCAGAATATGCATGTATTATATGCAAGCATGATGATATATGAGTAGATGCATAACATATATGTTAAGGCCCAAAACTGAATGAAGATGATGATGATGCTAGAATAATGGTGTTCATGATATACGAATAGATGCATAACATATATGTTAAGGCCCAAAATTGAACGATGATGATGATGCTTGAATAATGGTGTGTATGATATATGAGTAGATGCATAACATATATGTTAAGGCCCAAAACTGAATGAAAATGATGATGATGCTTGAATAATGGTGTGTATGATATATGAGTAGGTGCAAAACATATATGTCAAGGCCCAAAACTGAACGATGATAATGATGCTTGAATCATGGTGTGTATGACAGTGAAGATGCAACAATGGAAGGCATGAATATGTATACACACATAGCAGAGAACTGTTGGAGAAAATGAACAAAAACTGTTGAGGTTAAGAAAATTGCATTAGGGAAAGGAGGCAAAGGATATATACGTACATATAGTGAAGAAAGAAAGAAAGAGAGTGACATCTTGGATAAAACTTGCAATCAGGCCATGATCTGAGGCCTTTATTGTTTGCTTGTTTGTTTTTTTCCCTTTCTCTTCTATCTTTTCAATATCATAAAGCAAAGGCTCATTTGCAATTCTGAAACAGATTTGTCTGCAAGTGCTTGGACGACATAGATTCCATACCTATACACCTGGTTTTTAAAACCTTTGTCCCATCTTCTTCTCTGCAGCTTTCCCTATCCGTGGCGCCAAAATGCAGACCACAAACAATAGTCTGAAAAGGAATATGGTTCCAAATTCTCCAATTTGGTTCCATGATTCTCCAATTTGCTAGTTTTTGATAGCTGCTAAATATTCTGAGAGTGTTTGAAGAAACTTTCCCTTAGGATCACCTGATAGCTGTATATAATACTAATACACCTATATGTTAGTCACAAGTTGGTGAAGCAAAAGTTTCAATCTTGCTTTCCTGAATTGAACAAGAAAACAATGGACATTAACAAAAAGGGATGCATAAACTGTAGTCTTTGAAACTTAAAAGCAAGAACAAGTTAAAAAAATGTTTTTGGAGTTGGAAGGTACTGCAAGTGCGAGAATCGTTATAATTTGTTGTCAATTTGAGTTGTTGGTTCAACCCTTTGTGTTTGGCTTCACCTTGGACTCCAGATTCTTCTCATCAAGCACTCTTATTAGGTTAAAAAATTGAATCTTCTTCACTATGCGGATATTAAGTAATACATTGCATCTCATTCTCAAGTACAAGAAATTGATTTACAGTTGCCAATACATATGCATATTGCTAATCTGTTCATTTGATTTCGTAACATAAAACAAAATAGTTGGGGGTGCCAAAGATCATAGGATCAATCCATCCTTCACGATTTTCTGCAACAAAAGTACCATATCCGACATCGTAGGACGCTCACCAGGATCTTCTCATATATCCGCCAATTTAAGAAAAGGCTCGACATTTCTCGGGAGCGCAGCGTAAAAATCGATAATGGAAGCTGCTTTACTCTGTTTAATTAAGGGAACTGCCCAATCAACTATGCTTGCAGTTGTAGATCTTTATCATAAGCTTTCCTTCCACTGAGAATCTCCAACAAAACAATCCCAAAGTTGTACACACCACTTTTCATGTCTCCGTTAAGATCGAGATCCCTCTCAATTGATGTAACTAGTCCAAAATCTGCAATTTCTGCTCCCCAATTTGAATCCAAAAGAATGTTTGAAGCCTTGAGATTGCGGTGGATAATTGGAGGCACAACTTCCTTGTGAAGGTATCGAGTCCCCTTGCTGCCTGCAACGAGAACTTCAAACAAAGGCTTCAACTAAAGTGATGTGTACCATGGGGCATATATTCATAAACAAGCAGCCTTTCCCCCATTTCAGAACAGTAGCCTAGCAAATTCACAATATTGCAGTGTCTCACATTGCAAAGGATTTCAAGTTCCATCTCAAACTCACGAATGTTGGTGTGGATTATCGTGGCAGCATTGGCCCTCTTGACAGCAACTTGCCTCCCATCCGATAGCACCACTTTGTAAACAAAACCATAACTTCCCCTACCAAGCTCATTGAACTCCTTGAACCCGTTAGTGGCGTCTTTAACTCAGAAAGCCGGAAAATTTGAGCTGTTCCAGGACAAGGAGTGATTGAAACAAGAGAGAATGAAACAGCAGTGGTGTCACCATCCAACTGGTCTGGTTTGCCTATGCAAGACTTGAACCGTTTTTTCATCCCTTCTTCCGTTATCGACACAAACATTCGTTGAAGATAACACCAGCTAAGCAATATCAGAAAAAACACAAAAACACAAGAGCCAACTATGATTAAAAGTCAAATCTTGTGATGCCAGTGTTCATCCGGAGATGATGGGATCCCACAAACATCCCAACAAGTACTGTTTTGGCAAAGAGAGCAAGCCGTGCATATTCGGTCTGCGTTTTTAGTGCATGGACTAGACAAGAAGAAACCTGCAAAGCAATTCGATGAACAAGGTGGACAAATCTGCAAATCTTTCCTAACACACAAGCTAGTCAAATCTGACTCATTTAGGTTACTTGCATTGAAAGCAAACTCCCTTTCGAGGCACAAAGTCGAACGACAGAGACCAGGGCTGCATAATTCCAGAGGTGGACTATAATCAGGTTGCAAAGTAGTATTTCTAGACCAAATTTCTAAAACCAAATCATCTTCCCTTATGCCGCGTGTAGCGAAGTCCGATGAAGCAAGTGCCATAAACCCGGAATGCTTCGGTACAGAAGAAAAATTGAAGCTGCCCAACATTCAGCCCCGTGATTATTCTCTCGAATCTCACAAAAATGATGACCACTGGCCGTAAATGACATAAAACGGACCCGATAGGAGGATCGGAAAATGAATCCGAATCACCCCAGCATCTCACTACACAAGACAACTCCATGATGCCACATATAGAACCTTTAGCTGAAGCTAAAACTAAAAAACTCTCCAAACTTTTGAAACCCCTAAAACATTAGCAGTTGGTCCCCAACAAACAAGCCCTCCTTCTTTGATCCCGCCACAACTAAACCCTTCACCAGAAACAATCTTATTGAAAGCAAGGGTATTAGTATAGGGGTTTCAAATCGCGGTCGCTATTGCGTTTTCGGTTATTTCGGATTTACCGTGATTGCGGCCGTCGCGGGTAACTCGACGGCGGCGAAACCGCTATATCGTGATCGCGGACCGTTTTTTAAAACTAAGTACTCTGATTATAAAACAGATTACTCTGTTTTGAACTTAAAGTATCATTAGAACCTTTTACAATTTCCCAACAATAACGGTACCGGATCCATGATCAGAATAATAAGCCCCTCTGATTCCACCAACATGACTCTTTCCAGAAGTTATGTGAGAATAAGCTGTGGTTTTATAATCTGAAGGAACAAGATCAGTACCTGACGCCAGCAAGCTCCAACAAAAAGCTTCGGAAGTGTTGGCTAATATGCCACAAAGGAAACCTTCTCCGCCTGATAGAGCCACCATTGGAGGAACTTGAGAAGCTGAGATCAATGATGATAGTGAAGTTAAAGCAGACGAAGCAGCGGTAGTAATAGTATTAGAAGAAGAAGAAGGGGTGTTGTTGTTTTTGTTCCAACATATAACTTCCTGTTTCCCGCTGGCATCAATGGCACAAAAGAATCCGTCGTCGACGAATGCGGCGGAGATGGGACCATTTGATCCGAACCCAGATGCGGAAATTGCTGAAATGAGGAGGAGGAGGAACACGGTCGTTCTGAGGATTTGCATGATGGTGGGTCTTTGCTGCTGCTGTTCCAGTGGTTATGGTTGGTCTTGGTTCTCTTCTTGTTTGTTGACATGGGATTGAGGTGTAAATGCAAAATAGGAAAAGGAAGAGATAGAGATAGTTGATGAGGTTGGTTACAAATGACGATAAAGCAGCAAGGGTGTCGCCGATTTTTCTTCTCTGTTTTGTTTGTATTTCATATTTACTATAGTTTGCATTTTTACCTGTTACTTAAAGCTCCAATTTCAGCTAACTTCTCATCAAATTACTATCTCAAGCAAATTCCATTGTTTGTTCAAACAGATTTTGGTTTCCTCATTAGACAGCTTCATATGCGTCGAACTTTAGCTGTCCAAGTTAAGTCTAAAACACGACAGGAACAGAGTAATCTGACAGCAAAGTTATGCTCAGAATTGAATGCAGCATCGAGTGATTGCAGAGTGATGGAGGGGAGTGTTTCAAATTCTCAAAAGAACCAATAAAAAAAACAGTATTTCAGTGTCGATTTGTGAAGTAGCTGCCAAAAACCCTTTATCCTAGAAATTATGAACACCCTGATCTTATCAGATGCTTGTTCGGTCAGCTTGTCTGGCCTTTTTCTTTTGCAGCTAAACGCCTCCCTGTAGAGTCAACCTGAATCTTCCTTTTGTTTCCCCAACGGTTACTGAAGTTTGAGTTTCATTTTTCACTGCTAAATTTCAAAAGTTACGAAACGGTTATTAACATTCCCGTTTTCCAATAGAACCGTCACTCTCTAACCGTCACATGCTAACGGGTTAATAGTCGAGTAACCATTTTGTTAGAAAACGATAACGTTAGTGATTATTGTGTAACTTGTAAAACATCATAGTGAAAAGAAAAAATTACTCAAACTTTAGTACCCGTTGATATAATTTTCCCTTTTTTAGCAGTTAAAACTACAATGGCTGAACAAATTGCCCGAATGGGATCAAC